TGGATCCCAAGAAACCAATCTGGCAAAAAGCCACGGTAGTACAGCAGCCAAGTGGAAATTCCCCCAGGCGATATGAGGTACAGACTGAATCCGGTGCCCGATACTTCAGGAATCATCGCCATATTCATCCAGTGATTGAAAGCCAACCAGAGGAATTAAACCAGGCCCTAGTAATTCCCGGAACAGAACAAAAGTCACCAAGACCTGGACTTGTCAAACATCCCAGCTCAGCAGTAGCTGATGTTGCTGACCAGCCATCACCAAAGCCATTGCCCAAACAGTGTTTGCCAGAAAAGACCCCTGTCGGAATTGCGCTGTCTTGTCCATGAAGAACTATTAAACCACCTACGAGACTAATTGAACAAATCTAGGGACACTATAACAGTTTAAGAGAAATGTATTTGTAGTGTGTCGTATGGGTAATTGTAGCTGTCATAGCTGTTCATGGTGAATGTCATTAGTTTTTTTTTTTAAGCATGTAACAAGTTTTCGGATCAGCACCTCAACTTTTACGCATACGAGGAGGTGAAATGTGTTCCAATTTTAGAGTACCCGGGTACAAGAATCCAATGCAAAGTCTTCTAGTCACTGATGTCATAATCTCTAAAAGAAGGGGGGATGTTGCAATATGCTATTGCATATTAATTAGCCCATAATTGTTTAGGTCATTTTTTCTCAGTATGCACCATTCTATTGTTCACACTTAATTAGTTGTAGATTGCGCCAAAAAATTTTTATTCATAGTGTGTGCAATTTGTATTTAAAAAAGCCATTAGGACGCGAAATAAACCTGGCTCTCTAAAGTGAAACGGTTGTGCGGTCCTGATATATTTCTTCACGCAGGAGACTAAAAAGAACACCACACGAGGAAACAGTAACAAAACGGCTTAAGTGTAGCAAAGCACACTAGAAGCATTTTTCACAGGTTTTACCAAACAACTATAATATAGTTATACAGTTTCCTGTGTTGAAGTTCCTGCTTTCTTCTGAAGTGTTTTACCATCATGCAGCATGCTCTGCTGTGATTCGATATCAGAAAATGAGATTAGCATAACTGAAGCCATGATCCAGAGTTACACAAGATTAATACCCTAATTGTTTTCAAACCGGGAGTGTACTTTCAACTCTCATTCATTGAATCACCTATCAGCACAGGTTAAAGCTCATGGTCCACTGATCCTTTACTACACTTTTGTATTTGAATCTATGTTGGTTCATCTTAAGTGCATGTTCCATGGTACGAGAGGCATTCCAGATCAGATTTGCAAATGACTTGCAAGAGCACAACATTCCAAGCATTACATAAAGCTAAGTGTAGCAGGAAATGATGAAGCATGTGAGTTTGCACAAGGAATGCTAACATCAAACTCCCCTGAGGCTGTTGAGGTTAATGATGAAGATTTAAAGCTCTTCACACCAATGCTGCACAAGGTCCCTCATGTTGGTAATCCAACAGAGGGATACTTCAATGATGACAGAGAAGTCAGTGTATCAGAAAGAATGTGTAAAAGTGGTCAGGTGTTTCACAGCCTGTGGTACAAAAGGAAAGCTAAATCAGTAAGCTATCTTGTGAAGTATTTGTCACAGCCTGACATTTGTTTTGGAGAGGTCCAGTTTTTCCTTAAGGACTGCCATAATGATGGCTATGCTGATAACATTGGTTTGAACATATGTTCATCAAGAATTGATCCTCCAAGAGATCCTGTTGTTCACACATTTTGGTCATCGTGCTTCGTAGGACATCACTTTGCTGCAGTGCGGTTTACAGGGAGATTTAACACTATGAAATCAAAACCCATGAAAATCTTGTAAAATTGTTCATGGTAAATTTACAGATTTTCAGAGGATCTTCATGGTTAAATCAATGGCATTTTTTTGGTCTCAGTGCCATGAAAAAGACATGAAAAATCCCATGAAAAACCTGTGAAAATTTTCGTATTCACGACCCATGAAATATTATTGTGTAAGGTGACCTAGAAGCCATGAAATACCCATGAATATGGCATTTCATGGCCTTTTCAAAGGTTCTGAAAAACCCATGAACTTCATGTCAAAAAAATGCATGGTGTTTATTTATTTATTTATTTATAGTAACTTCCATTTAGTGACAAAGAATAATGATAAAAAGAATAGAAAACAAGTACTAAATGAAGGACTAACGTACGGACTCGAGGTCCCAGCAAGGTCAGCCCCCATAAGTATATACTATACTAAAACATATGTAAACAAAAACAATAATCAACAACAGTTCTATCTATCAATTGAGCGACAATGTGGGCAGACTGTTTTCCATGTTTGAATTCTAGATGTGTCAACATTAGTGATAAATTTGTTAAAGAATTAGTTAAATAGATGGTCTTTAAAGGTAGAAAGAGCTACAGTTTCATGAATATCTAACAGAATATTGTTCCATAAGGAAATAATCCGATTAAGAAATGAATCACGAAATAAGGAAGTACAAACACGATTTGGTCGCAAATTAAAGTTGTTGGCATTCCTAGTACGGCCAGTGATCAAGTTGATATATTCATTGACATTAATATTGTAGTACTTACGCATACACTTGTAGAAGAAGCAGATGTCTTGAAGTCCGTGCCAGTAACATAATGGTAACAGTTTTAGCATTTTTAAGCGGAACTTATAGTAAGCTCTTTCTGATACCTTATAACTACAGTTCAAAATGAAACGAGTTGCCCGACGTTGAACACCCTCTTGAATATGTAAGTGATGGACAGTAGATTGAGGGGCCCACACCTCGCTAGCATAGCCTAAGTGGGAATGCACAAAAGAAAGATATAGTGTTCTCCTGCTATCAGTCCCTATGTCAGCACAGTTCCGACTGAGAAAACCCAACATCTGGTTGGCTTTGGCTACAAGGCATTCAATGTGAGAGTTCCATGCAAACAACCCATTAAAACCTAGTGTTAAAATTCACTAGGTTTTAATGGGTTGCAGCAAATCATGACCCATGAATATCTTGTGAATATGTAAAAAAATTCATTGACCATGAAAATTGTCCCAGAATTTTCATGGCTGCTCCACGGTATTTTCATGGCACATAAAAGTTACTTGCCAGTTAGTTTTCATGGGGTTCTTGGGAATATGCAAGCACCATGAAAATTCCTTGGAAACCCTAATAATTTGGAATGAAAAATTCTATACTTTACTTGCACCAAAGACTATAGTACAGTGTATATATAGCTGTATACTGGCAATACAATAAAACTCTTGTGTGCTAAAATTCAAATGTAAGCTGTCAAGCAGCATTTTCATGTTATACTGTTTGTTTTTGTTGATTCTGCAAATGGAAATTCAAAGATTTCTACTCAATTTTGACTGAACACTCTTGGAAGTGAAGGGCTTAATTACAGTTGAATAATTGATTTTTTTAATGAAAATCTTGCTGTAACTGTAACAATAAATTGTAATGAAGTTATCCTAAACTGCAGACTAAGCAGCTGTTTGTCTTTTTTTGCTGGGCTCACAGCTTGTTAAACATGACTAAAATAATCCTGAAACCTTCAGCTTATTGATAGATTTATTTCATTGTTAAGCATAAGCTAAGAAATTTTGGCTGCAAGTGACCGAATGGATTCTCAATTTTGATCATGTACCGAATATCGCAATTTGAACACACCACAAACTTTCAAAATCATACTTTATAAATGGCCGCTCAACCCTTGTACCGGCCAGTCAATATGTAAACTGTTGTTCCTTCTCTTATCTCCACAGCCCCAACTACTTGCTTTTCATTTATACCTCTCATAATGTTCTCGTTTTCCCATTGAACAATGATGAAACCCATCTTTACAGATATTATGTTAAGCAAAACAGTGGAGAATCAACCGATGAAAAGTACATTCAAAGATGAGTGCCAAATGTAGTCTTCTTTGTTTCCAAGCACGTGTAAGATCATGAGGATATTTTGGGAATTGTCATTGGCTTGTAAAGAGAATGTGCTGCCTTGCCCGGTTGCAGTCTCAAGAGAAGCGCGCAAGATTATTCTGACTTCTCTGACTGGTACTTTCCTTTTGGACGATGGATTAACCTTGGATCGATGATTTGAAGATGATATAAATAAACGTGTTTTACCCTCATTATTATAAGAGATAGATACCACCTAAGGAAGTATGAGAGATACCAAGATGTTCATAGTGTACCAGTACCCAAATCAACAAAGTTTGACCATAACAAGCATTGAGCAACACATTCCAACACAAAGTCTCGTGAGACTGACGGATGCCCACCCTCTGATCAGGATAGCCTTCCTACATGGGATCCTACTAGTATAGAGTTATACAGGATCCTAATTCTTGCCCAGGATCCTGATCAGGATAGTGATCCCTCATAGAATCCTATATATATCCAGAATCCTATTCTTGCCCAGGATCCTGTTCAGGATAGTGATCCTACTGATCCTATATAGGATCCTACATATCCAGGATCCCATTCTTGCCCAGGATTCTGATCAGGATAGTGATCCCACATAGGATTCTATATATATCCAGGATCCTATTCTTGCCCAGGATCCTGATCAGGATATAGTGATCCTACATAGGATCCTATATATAATCCAGGATCCTATTCTTGCCCAGGATCCTGATCAGGATAGTGATCCTACATAGGATCCTATATATATCCAGGATCCTATTCTTGCCCAGGATCCTGATCAGGATAGTGATCCTACATAGGATCCTATATATATCCAGGATCTTATTCTTGCCAAGGATCCTTATCAGGACAGTGATCCTACATAAGATCCTATATATCTCTAAGATCCTACTTAGGATCCTATTCAGGATCTGTTATCATTCTAGGATTCAGATCTTGTACAGGATCCTGCTTAGGATCCTGTTTCTATTCAAGATCCTATATGATCTTATAGGATCCTTCAGGATCCTGGACAGGATTTTCACCAGGGTTTGAACATATACTGTAACCCACATTGTATTCCCTTTTTAGTAGTCCTAAATGAGTTTTTTAATTTTAATTTTTGGCAGCCACCAGCAGGACCTAACTCACAACTAGCTGAGGCATGTCAAGTGGTAAATGTTTTGGATCCTAAAGTAAAGTAGGTGGCCTTTTTCTGAATATTGGAGACAAAACAGATAAAATATTCGGAGTGGAAAATCATAAATAATTAATTTAGATTAGTACTTAGTCTGGTAATTGTCAACAAAAGTAAAAAAGTGAAATTTAGATTAAAAATAGATTAATTGCTTCAATGTAAGCATGTAAGTATCGGGGGGGTGTAGTGGCCTTGTGGTTGGCACCAGGCTTTATTTAAGTTTCTGAGCAACTGCATACCTACCCCTCCCCCAACCCAACATCAATCAACTGATGGTAAGTTAGGTTCAGGGGGGGGGAGGTAGGGGTGTAGTTGCTCAGTTATTGGCATAGATCCAAATATTAACTAAATAGATAAAAAAATGAAGGAGGAGTTCTTAATAATTGCTCATTTGCAGAAGAGGTGCAAAATTTGGTTGTGCCAAAGATTACTGTTCTCATGAGTTTTAATGTCAAATATTCTGTTGCAAAATGAATTATACACAGTATGTTTAAGTGAAAAGTAGGATAGCAGTACTCTTTAACTTCAAGTCTAGCATTTTCAGAGGTGTCATTTTGGCAAAAGTCGCGAGCCAAACCAAGCAAGTTCTTGAGTGGTTTTGTTTTAATTAACAATTATTTGCTCACGGTGAAGAGCAAAAATACTTAAGTGGGCAGAGGTTTAGTCAAAGCTAACAAATGAAGGTAGCTGTCATTTTTGTATCTTGGTAAAGGGCTGGCAAACTTTGAATTTCCGAGCTCAGTTTTTATAATGATGTGATGTCTTTCTGATTTTGTGATTCATCACTTCACAGGAATGAGTTGCTCACATGGTTTGTCAAACTTCAACTTGCAGAATATCAGCAGCTTTTCAATGAGTCATTTGAAGTGAGAGCCTCTTTTCTTAACTAATTAACAAATAGATTTTGAACACAACACATTGACTTTATTGACTTTATAGATTCCATGTTGCTGTAGACCTGTTCAGTAATAGAGGGCTGTGGTCTAGCAGTGCCCAGGGGCCCCTGGTACCTTACTTTTGCTTTAAGGTGACTCAGGAATTTAATTTTTTTAGATAAAACATCATGCTGGGCACCCTGGATTTCACAGTTTCAGAGCACTAAGCTCCCTTCAATTTTTCTTAGAGCCCAGCCTTGAACAGATTGCAGATGATGTCAAAATGTGATAAGAACAAAAAAGTGGCACCTGAGACCCAGTGGAGTATGTTGCTCATGTTCTTACTACATGTTGACAACTTCTGGAATCAATTACTCCACAGACTCACAGCAACATAGAATCTATTTTTTTTTTCTGATTATGTTAATTGTGATGTTATCTATGCATCTGTCCTCCAATATTTCATTAATAAGAGCCGATCAAAATTTAGCTTATCATATAAATTAAAATTGGAATTGAAATTAAAATTTCTAAATCCCTTTTAAGGCTACGTACTTTATACCATGTGTGTGAGACTTGTTCATTTGCATGAGAAATTATCCTCTGTGCTGGTCTCATATTTCATTTTTTCACTCAGGTTGCATGGCTTGATAAAATTGACCGCCGGTATTCCTGGTTGAAGAGAGCGCTGGTTAAGTTTGATGAAGACTTTCAGGGGACATTTCCATTTGAATGGCTTGTGGAGGAGAGAATCAGTGAAGAATTCTGTAAAATTACCAAGTATGACTTCACGCTTTAGATCCTAACATCAGAATCAAAGTTCTCTTTACAGAACTCTATACATTTCTTATGTTTCTGACAAGGAGAGTTTGTCTAACAATCAAAAGCTCCCTGAGTTATTATTCTTGTGACCTTAATGTTTAATTCAGCAGTGATTCTGCATAGAGAAATGAGATCACTGTCATTTGTAGGAGTTAAAGGGTTAACAAATATTGACTTATCTCTTTGTTGATCTGCAGGAAAGATTTGTCAAAAATTATGACAGTAAGAGTACAAGAACTTGATGTCAAGCTGTTGTTGTTTGCCATCCAAAGAACAACAACCTTTGAAAGTTTATTGGCTCAGAGGTTTGTTCAGCATGGCTATGAGGTAAGAATATATAGAATATATATATATATAATTATGACTTGATTCAGCGTACTTTATTTCTTTCTCCTCTGTGACCACTACATTTTTTGCTGCCCTCTGACAAATCTGTGAGGTTTTTCCTTAATAGTTGAACTGAAAATTTACCATATTTCTTGATTATCTCAAAACAAGACACTTGTATTAAAAATTTGCTTGGGCTTTTTGACACATATTAACCCACAGTTCTAGGATATAACTGGCCAGAGGAATTCTCTGTGGCTTGGTTTGTCAAAAATTAGAACGCAAAATCAGAACTGGCAGATGTACAAAGCAATAATACTATCATCAAACACATTATCAACTGATGTTTGCACATAAAACTTGAAAATACCCCCAGAGGTTGTGCATGAGACAAAGATGATGAATTAGGAATGACTGCAAGTGTTTTGTACATTGTATAAACCACATGTATTTTATTAGTCTAGTTTGTCTTCGACAGTCTCTGCTCCTTTTTGTTTTGTAGGAGAAAGGAGAACCAAAGGAGAAAGGAGACAAGGTTTGTTTCACGATTCAAAGTTCTGCAGGTGTTTCTGTGACAGATGAACAAAGTTTAAAATCCTTGAATGGTACACGATTTCTTTACAAGTTAGCTTAGTGACTTGTAATTTAGGTTCTCTTTTGTTAAGAAAAACGTATTCAGAGTGATTACAGTAGTATAATTAGGGGTGGTAAATTCTAAAGAATGCCTAATTTTGTTACTTCTTGACAATAAAAATAAGTTTCAAATAAGTAGAAGCGTCTTTATCGGAGGCAAATCACATTTATTTTGCGTCGATCCTTTAGTGGTTTTTTCCTATCGAAGTACTTAAAAAACTGTCTAATAGTTCTAGTTGCCCAGAAGGGTGCCTGGTAACCAGAATTGTTTCTCTGAAACAGTTAATGAGAGATTTCCGAAGTTGGACTGGTGCAATGACGTATTGATCGCACTGTGACTCGTACACCGACCAGACCTTTCTTCTTGTATGGGAACTTCTATAAATTTTGTGCTGCTCGCTTGTTAAATGAATCCCGGTCTTCTTAGTTCTCAAACAACTAAATTTCCATCTAAAATGTCTCCACCAGAGTGAAAATTACTGTCTTTAATCCTGTGAGTTTTTTTTGGTAATGATTGAATAATTTGCTAAGTTAGTTCTGTTTTGTTTTGTTTTTCAGCCAAAACAGTCCAAGTTCTTAGGAATTATTTCAAGATGCTTTGAGCCACATCTTCATATTTACATTGAATCACAAGATAAGTAAGATTCAATTTGTTATTGTATGGCAAATCTTGAGTCAGGAGTTTCGACAAGTCTCAAATAAGTACTCGTCCTACTGTCAGTCATTCAATAAGGATTTGACACTCAGGAATATTGTGAGACGGCATGTCTGTTGAAGGCCACAAAACCAACAGATTGTAATTGTGAGATAGCTAAGCTTGTCTGTTCAGCTAGGACATCCGTTTTATGATATGTTAGTTAACTTGTGAGCTGCACATCTCTATACAATCCCGTTCCCTTACGACAGATTAGAGCACATTTCGAATGAGTATGTAAAAACAAAGCCAACTTGATCGCATTGGCCAATCAGGAGGAAGGAGGGTACTAGACGAAGCCAATGAGAACCCAGCTCGAGAAGCAATCTGCCTAGAACGCATCCTTGAAAACACTTGACTAAGGCGCGATTGGTACATCTTATTGGTTAATAAAGTGGTGCGATTTGTTATTGTTGTGTGTGTTTTTTTCAAATTCAAATCAATTACAAAGCATAGTGACTCAAAACCAATATAACCCTGACTTACTGTCGAGACTTACAGACCTTTTAATTTAAAACAATGTTAAGATATTGATCTATTTCTCAACAGAAACCTATCAGAATTGATGGATAGGTTTGTTCAAGATTTCAAGTCCCAGGGCATCCCTATGGTGGAAGGAGATGGAAGTAACGTTGTATTTCCCAGCGCCGGTGAACTGTTTGTGTTTTACAAAAAGTGTATGGTACAATGCTCTCAGCTCAGCACCGGGCCCCCTCTGCTCTCGCTCACTGCAGCATTCCAGAAGTTTCTTAGAGAGTATGCTACCAGAGTACTCAATAACCATCTCCCAGTAAAGTAAGTATTGGTCTTCATTGTCAAAGTTCACACTTTTATTGTTTGACATATGTTAGTTTAAATATATCAACAAAGTTGAAATGGTAAAGTGGACACCGTTACGATTATAAAAGCTGACGTTTCGAGCGTTAGCCCTTCGTCGGAGCGAATAGAGGAATTGTGGGTTGTGTGTGCCTTTAAAGGAGGAAAAGGAGCTACGTGATTGGTGGGAACATGGCAACGAGAAAAACACGAATAAATTAGTGGAATGAAAAGCGTTCGTTGATACCTGTGGGATTTTAACTGCCGGTTTGAAAGATGAGCATAACATGTGTTAGTTTAGTAGCATCGAAAATAGGGAAGACCAACGCATGTGGCAAGGTGTATTCAGAGGTACACCTATTTGGTCTATGGTTGTATTGATTGAAATAATGTATTTAAATGTGTTATTACTTGATTTTAGGTAAAAATGTGTCAATTAAAAGAAATCGTGAATTTTTTTCCTCTTTAGGAGCACAGGTGGCTTGGCTAGCATCTTGAACAATACTGGTGAAGTGAAATTCAGCAAAGAAGAGCAAAGTTTGACTTGTTGTATTCTTTGTACAGCTGATTATTGTCTGGAAACAACTCAACAGGTTAGATTTTCTCTCCATTTTAGATAATACCATGACTATCCTTAGGCATTAACTCTTTCTTTCTTAGCTATTCTGCTCTTTCTGTCTTGCGTGGGTGACTTGTACCTTTATTGTATTGCAGATTTTGTAAAGCTGGGATACTTTGTGCCTCTTCAAGATTCTTTTTCATCTCGTTGGTTCAGTAGGGGGGGCGAGTACCTACCTTTTCGAAAGCAACAACATACAACTAGGGAGTAAACCCAAAGCCTTTTCTGATTCTTTCTACACCATGTAGTAATTGATTTAAATGCATTTTCCATCATATACAGTTGGAGGAGAAGTTAAAGGAGAAAGTGGATCCTGAGTTAGCGGAGAAAATTGACCTCAATGGGGAACAAGATGTATTCCATAGGTTAGTAGCGAAAATTTTAACGCTTGATTTTCAGACCTGTTTGAGTTGTTCGTTTTCACCAATGTAAATTGCTCGCGAACTAACAACACATCATCCAAGTAACTTGGACGTAATGCATACGCCAGTTGCCTGGAAACGATGCCATGAACCAACAAGACGAACAACTTACTCTTGTGTTAACCGTTCGCGATATTTGTATTTCTTTGGGTCTTTTTTTTTTTAAGAGACCCGAGGATTTGAGTTTACTCGATTATGAGTAAGTCTTTGATGTGTGCTTTCAAATAATCTCGCCTTGGTTGAAACTGGACTAAGGTGGCAACTATGTGAGTTAGAGTGATTATGCGTATGCATCGGAACTGTTGCAAGCCTTTGAGAAGTACGAGTTCTCCTATTTATTCCACCTGAGGTTAGTTTGGCGCAAGGGTCAACGTGAGACGAGAATGTCATAATTGGCAACAGTTTTATTTTACTTAAGGAATGTCAACGGTAAGTGTTTACGGAAGATTCTGAATTTCTGATGGCCGAAGGTAGTTGAAATGAAGAACTGTGGGAAAGGATACGACAAAACATTCATACAAAAGCATGATTAGAAGAAAATGGAAATAGGTTGTACATGCGCTGCCCAAGCCTGGGAATACTATCACCCCGCACGGCCCCCGAATGGAACCCTCAGGCCATCCAAAGTAGTCTTGGAGGCGCACTGTCCAAGATGAGCTCGACAAAAAGAACATCACCTGAGGAGAAGCAAAAAAAAACAGTGTCCGTTGGAGGTACACGTTCGACTTGCTATGCTCTTCAGCAGGAGTGAAGATGGCCTGATCTCTTATGGTACTTAGGCCTTGTTACTATTCCACGCTCTTCCAAACATTTTGCATCTCAAGTAAGTATCGATCCACGATGTTCTTTTTAAAAACAGTGTGTCCGTGTGATCGTATCCTTCACTGCTTTTCTCACTTCTCTGATCTTCCAGCAGTACAGGATCGGGTTTAGAGTTGAATTTAAGTGGACTAGAGCGGACGAAACCAAATAATACGCTAAATGATGTACCTCCATTCCAGCCACGATGCCATAAGGGGCATAACAGGCAACTAACGCCAGCTGCACCCACAAAATGCTAGACACTGTTTTTTTGTATCTTGCTATGTTCAATACAAATCGTTCTTCGTATGGTTGTCCATGGGCGAAGTCGTTTTGTACTTGAGTTTGATGCTTTTTTATGGTGAAGTAAATCTTTACATAAGAGAAAGTTGAAGTTACCAGTGAAAGCACAGTGCTGACTGAAGTTACTCTGTTGAAGACATCCACTTTCCACAACCCAATCATGGCAATTGAACCCATTATAATCCAAATACAAGTTATAACAAAACGAACTCGCGGTATTGTTACAACCGTTCTGTACCTCAGTCCTAACATCAGCGCAAGAAGTCTATCCACACTTATTGCAGTCGTTGTTAACATAGATAATCCGCACAAAATTGTACTTGTTGCCGCACAGATCTTGCGAATGTAATGCAAAACATTCTCGTCCATCTCTACCGCGTAAGACGTGATAGACGTTGTATAGAGTGGTTGTACTATTAGGCCAACACAGAGGTCGGTAACTGCCAGGCATTGAAAGAAGAGTTTTGTTGGAGGATAGATGGACGACACTCGCTGAAGAGCGCTGAGAATCACAACGTTACCAACAGATGACGCGATGGCGAGAAAAATACTAAAGCCTGCGAAAATTTCAACTAACTTTGCATGAGATGCATTGAAAGCATCATTGAATGTTCTGGTAATGTTTTCTTCTCTCGTAGAGTCTGCCATTGTTTATGGGAAGTGTAATGATGAGTTTTTCAACTTTAAGGGTTAGAAATAATTCTTTGTGTTATTGATAGACAACCCAGTCCTTATAGAGTTTAACATTATTTTTTGTTTATTTTAAGGAGTCTTTTTTGTTGAAAGGTGATGGACGCATGTCACTCACTTAAGAAAGTTTGTTGTAACAGCTGTTACGATTTTCCGAGAACGTTTCATTAATCCAATTTTACAATAACTTTGTGAGGGAAAGTCACTTCACTTTGGATCAATTTGTATATTTTCGCCGATTGTTACCGCAAATTTACAGAATTGCGAACCTTTTAGTGGATGCCAAATTATGGACACATGTTAAAGGAAAATTATTTCCAATCACCATATGGTAAACTTTTTGAAAACTTGGATCAACTTTCAAAAGATCACTAAACAGCGATATGTATAATAAATGATTGTCAAATACTTATGAAAAAAGACTTTGTGGCTGCTATGATGCAGCATTTCATCTCGGCTAAGAGACCCATTGGATACTTTTCGGAAATTTCAAGCAAATTCGTTGCGCTTTAAGTCCCTTTCACGAATTCGTGAAGGTGCGGTTGTGAATCCCTCTGCCATAGAGGAGTAGACTGTAAACATCTGACGTTCGGACTTATTTTGGACTACCTCTCATTTATGTTTTTAGCGGTTGGAGCGCGACGTTTACATCAAACGACAAAGATTTAACTTCTTGCCGTCTGGTTTTAGCCGTTTGTCTTCGATGATATTTGAATTTAATGTGAGAGAGATCTATTTTTTTTTTCAATTTTTATCAAGTGTAGATTTAATGGTTGTCTGAAAATAGTTCATTTTTGCCACTGTAGTAGGAATGATTTATTCAATATCGAAATCGCGTGACACAGCTCCCTTTATTGTACTTTCATTTTCGAACAAACATTACATTATTAAGAAAAGTTGTATTAGGAAACATCGCCAGTGTAAACTATGGCAATATATTTATTTATTTTGGACTGTATTTATAGCTGGAAGCTTACGCAAGAACAGGAAATTATATTTTCACTCTTTTTACAGACGTTTGTTTGGCGATATTGAAATATATTTTGTTAATGGATTTACCCTGTTGTATCCGCTCATTAGTCACACACCGTTGTTCATGCATGTCAGCTTTTAAGAGCACTTTTTGCTTGTTGGCAGTCGCGACAAAATGAAGTATTGACGAGAGCGATTGACTTTGAAAAAAACAGAAGACAATCATCTCTTGTCGTTGATTTCAAATCTCCATGACCAAAGTAATTCGTAATCTTTCCCTAGAAGTAGGGGGCATGGTGTAGACAGAAAGCAGATGATTGTCTGAATCGTTCCCAGTCGCCTTCAAAGCGGAGCAACGTACGCAGGCAGAATGGGAGCGTGAAGTGTTATGGGAAGGGAGATAGCGAGAGGGGAAGACTCATTCTTCCTTCTTCCCATCACCGTTTGGTCCTCCTCTTTAGCACCGCGTACATTTTGGAGTCGACTGGGTACGAGTCAGACTGATTGATATCGGGAGCTTCATTTAGGGGTGGAGAGCGGGACTACTCTACTGTCTCCACCCTTGGCTATGGCTTTTTTGGACATACCTTTAAGCTCTCACCTGAAATACTAATTTTAATTGCTTCAGATTACGAATCGTATTTCCTTTCCTTTGCGTATCTCTCAAGAATTCATTTGTCTCAACTTGGTAATTGTTTTGGGGCCTCATTTTCGGCAGCGTTGTTGTTATCTACACAACCAGCGTACGGCGAGCGTGCACTTTCATTTGCGCGTGCATCTTGTAGCACAAAACAAAGTAGAAAGGTTAAAATCCAAAAAAGCCAGGAGAGCGGATAATTTAATATGAGGTGTCCTAATGTAAAATACTGTACGGATTCAGAAGTTCAAAAGGGCAACTAGTGCTTGTATTTTCAGCTATTACAGTTTCTTAGCAATATATCAAAAGAAAAAGTGAACATTTCCTTGCGAAGACACCGGCACGGTTCGTGTTTACAATATTTTCCAGATACTGGGAATCCGAGATATCCAGTGAGATAAGAAATATAATGACACAAGAATGTAAGTCAATGGAACGCAGCTTAAGTCCGTCGAGATCACTACAAGTGTGTTTTAGCAGCAGGTCTCAACTATAATTCATTTTCACGTTTTTCATCTCTTTCTAATCGTTAACGCATCCATTACTTGTCTTCTTCCATAGTCTCTTTACTCTTTCGTTCTTCTTCGTTGTGCGTTATGTATTATAAAACTCCTTCTTCCTTCGCTATCTTTTATTTCACATTGTTTTTACCTTTGCGCCCATCGATGCGCATTTGTTTAGCAACAGTACAGCTGCCTGATTGTGTCCTTGACTGTAAGTCGGACTTGTCTTATCCTCCAGCAGTACAGGATGGGATTCAAACATGAGTTAAAGTAGAGCATTGTTATTGCAGTTAACCAATCTACTGCGTTGTTTATTCCAATCCCAGACACAACCCCAAAGGGCAGATAGCAGACAACTAACGCCAACTGCAACCACACAATGCTAGACACTGTCTTTTTGTATTTGGCTACAATTAAGGGTTTTCCTTCCCCGCTCGGTTGTACTTCGGGAACACGGTTTTCTATTTGCTGTTGATGTTTTCGTAGTTTTGATTGAATCGTGGCGTACGAGACAACTGAAGCAACAATAGATATTAAGAGAACAGCAGAGGCTTGCCTAAAGGCAATGTCTCTTTCCCACACCCAAAGTGGTACCGATAAAATCGATGTCGCCCAAAAACTGACTATAACGAGGCGAACTCGCTTTAATGATACAACATGTCTGTATCTTATCCCCAAATGTAAGGCCAAAAGTCTATCCGCGCTTACTGCAGTTGATGTCATGACTGAAACCCCGCACAAAACTGCGCTTAGTACACCGCCAACTTTGAAAAATGGCATCGTTTGTCCACTAGACAAAACGTTCGTGGCATAGATGTAAATCGGTTGAACGATTATGCCAACGCAAAGATCAGTAATTGCCAGGCATCGAAAGAAGAGTTTGGTCGATGGAGAGATAGATAGCACTCGAGGAAGAGCAATGATGATCAACATGTTACCCAGGAAGGCGATGGTCGCGAGTATTATATTCAAGGCTAAAAACAAATCAACAATACCTTTTGGCGATGATTGGAGTGCTTCAGTTAGTCGGCTTTCGA